TCCCTTCTGGTTTTTAAATCCTGCCGGGGGAGTGGCCTGGCCCTGTCACCTGGGACGCAGGGACTGGAATCCGGGACTCGAGGGCTTCCCCAGGGGCCAGCGCCCAGTGCTTTCTGCCCAGCCCCGCCCGGCTCACACCCACTTTAGACCATACCCAGCCTCCCGGCGGAAGTCGCAGCAGTCACACCTCTACCCAGCAGAGGCAGTTACTCCTCCCGCAGCCCTGAAGACGGTAAGCACTGCTGTCCCCTCGCCCATGACGCCTGACCCACTGTATCAAGGATCGAGCAGCAAGGCCGGGGCCCGCTGCTTCTTGCCCAGCTCTCTCCTTCCCTGTGACCGCGCAGGTGTCTCTACAAAGGGACTTGTGAATTCGAGTAGTAACAGTGCCGTGCCAGGAGTTTATGGGGAGGACATAAGGTGGACTGGCGCTTGCAGCCTGGCACTGTGCCGCTGCAAGGCGACAGGCAACCAGTTTTGTGGAAGTGACAAACCCCAGACCCTTTTGGATCTGTAGTCCCCCGATGGCCACACCCAGGTGCGCTTGACAGTCTTGGCTGGAGCCTGGTGTGCCACCAGGGGGCGCTCCACACCTGCCATCTCAAAGGCATCCCCGACTGTGCCTTACCCTGGCCTGGACACCCCAAACCAAACCGGCTACAGCAGCAGCCTTCTTACTGGTGAGGTCCCACACTCATTAGAAAACCAGGAAACGGGTGACAAGGCCCTCTGGACACCATGGCCTAATCACACGTCCGGCACCGCGCTGCTCTCGAGGGTGCTTGTGCTGAGGAAGGCAGATCGTGTGAAGAGCACAGCCCATCCTACACAAACTAAGATGGTGACAAGGCTGACGGCCACAGCTGTCGCACACCCAGATGTCCTAACTCGGCAGACTGTCAGCACAGCGCTCCAAGGGTGGTTCTTACCTGAGGGTGATTCTGGGTTCATCTGCAACAGGAAGCCTACACCAGGGCTGCAGAACCCTCCATATGTCATTAGACAACACACCCTGGTCTCTTTTGCAAAACGTTTATTTATTTACTTTTTGAACTTTTTCCTCTTTAGAGCCTTCCATTCACCTTCCTGCGTAGCCAGGCTGTTAAAAAGTTGTTTTACTTTTCGTTTTCTTTCCGCATCCCTAAAAGAAGAGACCAAAGTTTAAGGAAGATGCCTAACCCCTTTCCCTCGCTGACCTAACAGTTAGAAGCACACTGGCCTGCAGCCCCAGATCCCTGCTCAGCCCCCAGGCTGAGGCTGCAGGGCACCAGTGCGGAAACTCCAGCCTGGGCGCAAGGTCAGGCTTCCTCACCGTTCCATGATCTCAGAGAGCTGCATCCTGGCCAGGAACTGGTTGTCCTTCCGGATCTCCCGGACAGCACCTTTAAACTCCCGCCTGTGTTTGTGAATCAGCCGCTTCCTCTCCTGTTCTTCCTTGGTACTGCCTTGCTTCCTTCCAAACTCGAGGCTGGAATAGGAAAGGCAACAGCATTAGGGAGGCCGGAGCCTGCGGAACAAGCCGACGCCCTCCCAGGGTCCTCTAACACTCACACTTTCACCAGCCGGGGGGTGAACAGCTTCAAGGGGACGGGCTTGCTCTTCTCACAGATCAGCGGCCGGCACACCTGCTTCTGATTTTCTATATCTGTCAGTATGCTCTGAGACAGCTCCTGGAAAACACGAGAAATGGTGCTGTGACGGCCTGGTCGGGGTGTCCTTGGGCCTGTGGCCAAGCTGGTGCGGACAGGTGAGATATTCGCACAGCCACCACAGCCCACGTGTGGCACAGGTGTTACAGAAGCTGCCCACCCTTTTGGAGATGGGAGGGGACTGTGCCCTCAAGAGATGTTTGATTTAGAAAGCTGGAAGTCCCAGTCTGCTTCCTGTTCTAGAAACTGAGGGAGCCCCTATCCCAGAGCTTTCTGCCACAGGGCAGCACTGACCAAAATATGGAAGTGCACAGGAGCCCGCATCCCTGCCAAAGGCTGCGCCCTAGAGACAGGTGTGGGGCAGTGGGCAGGGCAATGTGACAGGCACGGGTGACTCGGCTTCATCTTCAACTGACAGTGCCACACGGCTCAGCACTTCCCCCAGGGTCTTGGGTCCAAAATTGCTCAGGCTTCTGGGGAACCTTCTAGAAGTAGCCCTGCAATGCCGGGCCTGTCGTCCCTTGCACAGGTGCCCTTGGTCTGTCTGGATCTCACAGGAGTGCCCAGAAGCCATGAGCCATGTCATGCCCCAGCCCAAACCCTACAGGGCCAGGAAGCCACTCTATCCTTCAAGCAGACAGTATGTGAGCACGGGGTGAGCAGTCCACAAGGACAACAGTGCAGCCAGTGCCCGGATCTGTGACCCAGCCAGGAACAGCGGAGTGAGCTCGTCTTTGTGGGGCAGTGGCGATGGTGCAGGAGAGCTGCAGACAGGTGGATAAACACAAGGTGGCCAGACCCCAAGCTGGGTGCTGTGCCATGGCACACTCTGCCTGCCAATGGGACACAGCCTGGAGGGGACATCAACCCTTCCGATCCCTGAGGATCTAGGCTGGGTGGGGGGACCCAAAGGGTGGGGACACGCAGGAAGGAATGGAGGGCAGGTGGATCGGCACTGAAGGCTCTCCAGCTTGGTGCTGGGGCACACAGCCCATATGCCAGAAGTCTTACCTGCAGCTCAAGGGGGTGGCTGCGCTCCACCTGGTGCACCGCAAGGAGGGCTCGGAGAGGCCTGACAATGGCCTGAAAGGACGGCAACGCACCATACACGAGCACACAGCGCTGGAGCAGGGCCAGCCCCACGGCCAAGCAGGACAGCCTGCGAGGAGGAGGAAGGCAGCTGGTCAGTCCCCGACAGACCAAAACCCCAGCAGAGTTGACCAACCGACCCACAGCTCTGAGAAACCAGCAGGGCCACCTTGGTGCAGCAGGCTAGTGGCTTGCTGGGAACGTGGCAGGAGCCCACCCGCATCCCTAGCAGGGAGGCAGGCGGTGCGAAAGGCACCAGTGGGAAAAGGACATCCCAGCTCAGTTGCCAAATTACTACTTGCAAAATCAGGGAGGTAAGTTTTTAAAATACTTATTTTTTTTTTTTTTCCCTTTTTGCAGTACCAGGGATTGAATCCATGGCCCCTGACTGAACTTATCCAGTCTTTGTTTTTATTTTGGTACTGGAGATCAAACTCGGGACCTTGGGCTTGCAAGGTGTGTGGCAGAATCCCCAGCCCCACAGTTTAAAAAAAATTATTTTGAGGGCTGGGGATTTAGTTCAGCAGTTCCACTGCTTGCCTTGCAAGTCCAAGGTCCCAAGTTTGATCCCCACTACCAAAAATATTTTTTCTTAATTTTATTTTGAGATAGGTTCTTGGGAAATCAAAGTTATCCAGACTGTGCTTGAACTCTTAAATCCTCCTGGGTCAGCCTCCCAGAGTGCTATGATTACGGCAAATGTCACTTTGCCCAGCTGAAAATAATGCACCATTTGGGGAAAAAACTTCCCTTGTTATCAAGATGCCTCACAAACTTTTGACTCTGACAGTACCAAATGGTCATAGGGGCAAATGAGATAAAAACATGGAGTTCCTGGCAGTAATCAGGAAGTGCCGTGCCTTCAGGTTTCTAGGGTGGGGCCTGCACATACCTGATGTGGTTGGCCTCAGCCTTGGTCGGGGTGCGTGACCCACCTGCCCAGTGAAGGGGCAGGCTCCCCCTCTGCCATGTGACCACATCATCCTTGTCAGACACCACGAGCAATTCAGAATTCTTCCCATGTGCTCTGAAAGGGTGCACCAGAGTAGAACCTGAATTCCAAGTGCAAAAGGACAGAGATGAGCCAGATGTGACCAGCTCACAAGGCCCACTCCACAGTGCCCAGCCCTCTGCTAGGCTCCAGGACTGGGCAGAAGCTTTGGTAGTGGTGGCCGGAGCCATGGCCCGAGCACCCTCTGGAGGCCACCAGAACTTCCCATGGGTCCACTTGTGTCATACATGGCTCTGTGCTAAGGCCAATCTGACCGCCCCGTGGGGGACACAGGCAGCACACACCACCCACAGAAGTGAAGCACGGGGACAGGAGAGCGGAAACGGACAGCAGAGAAAGAGGTGCACAGCTGGGATGCTGTGAGGAGCAGGTGGCTTCACCAAAGCCATCGGTGAAGACCTGGGTGATGCGGAGTCACTCGGTTGTCCCTTAGAAGACCCACAGGCCAAAGGACAGCCTGATGTGGGAGTGCCCAGGCACCGCTCCACCTAAGGCGGCTGCACAGATGAGAGGACAGCAGCCCTGCTGTGCCCAACACCAGCACGTCCCACTGCAGCCGGGCAGGACTACCACAAGTTCAAGGCCAGCCTGGGCTACCTGAAGAGTTCCAGGCCAGACTGAACTACATAGCAAAACCCCACCTCAAAAACCAGAGCTACAAAAATCAAATTTACATGTTCAAGACCACGATTTCAATAGGTAACACCCTCCCCGCAAAGGAAAAAATCAAAAAGAAAAGATAAAAATGCAAACTTGGTCTTCATAGCCTATTTTACTTAGCCCAGGATATTTCAATGTGTAACCTAAAATCCCAGTGAGCCACCTGACTGATGCGCGTGGCACTCAGTCCTTGGTTCCTCTCCCGCAGGGTACCCTCAGTAGAGGCGCCACAGTGGCTGTTGCCAGGCTGAGTGGCACAGGGGCCCCGGGGCCAGTTCTGAACCAGAGGGAGGGACGTGACACTTGCCCATGCAAAGAAAACACAGGCCACACCGGAGGGCAGGAGTTCTCTCTTCTGTATGCTAAGTTTTCTACAACAAGTATGAATTACTTTCAAAACATCCCAAAGCGTATTTCCAAAAAGCTCCTGCAGATCAGCTCACCACAGCTTTGCTTGTTTGGAGCTGCTATGTAGAGAATCCCAAGGAGAAAATTCACAAGCTCGGGTATGAACCTCCGAGACAGAGACACGAAGCCCAGGAAGAGGCAGCACACGAACAGGCCTTTCACCACGTCTCGCAGGGACAGCACAGGGCACTGGAAAGGAAGAGCGGGGCCGGTGACTGGCTCCGGCAGCAACAGCATTTATAAACCCCTGCCACTCACAGGGCGCATTCAACTCAACCACACACCGAGGACAGAGAAAGCAGCCGTCCACACCTTCATCCAAAGGGAACAGAGTCCAGCGGACGGGCAGCTCTCCCGACTCGCACCCTCCGCTGCCCTGACGGCAGGGCGGAGTGCTGGGTGCACCTGGGCCTGCTGACCTCACAGCCTGATTCCCTTAGACCTCAGGCCCCTAGGTGGACCAGCTCAGCCTGCTGTGATTGGAATACAGCCCGAGGGACGCTGTGTGTGGGAGAGGAACCCACCTTGGTAAGGATCTGGCTCATGCACACCAGGGCAGGCGTCACAACAGGGTGCCAGAAGTCGGAGGTTGGAAACAGCAGCCCGGCAATTTTCAAGTAAATGAGCTGGAAAGAAAGCGTCATCACAGATTACAGGATGTCCCATGCAGTCTAAACAAGGTCTTTCAGAGGGACCGGGGCGGGTTGGCTTGGGGTGGCACACTGCTCCCCTACAGCCAGACTCCCCACTTCGTGTCCTCCTGCCCCGGGCCCCGGTGCTGCTGGCTCTGCTATGACTTGTCCGAAGCCTGTGGAAAGTTCAATTAAGATTGCTAAGTCCACTTGTAAATTTCTTGGTGACAGTGAAAAACTTCTGGGAACGGGCAAGTGTGAGCAGCAGGCGTGGAGGCTCCCGGCAGCAGGCTGGATCTGCAGGGCATCTTTCCTGCCCTCGCAGGGATCTGCACCTTATCACCAGCTGTGCAGCAGGGCTCAGGAGCTTGCCCAGGCACAGCCCTGCTGGGGTGCCGTCCAGGAGCTGCCACCTTGTGCCCACCACAGGGGATGTGCGTCAGGTGGAAATGGGTGCAGTCCATGCTGGGTAAACGCTGCCTCCCTTGCATGGACGTGGGCTCTCGTGGCAGGGTGGGTATGAGCTGGGTTGTGGCCAGGTAGGGCTGGGGCCCCAGAAGGTGAGTTCCACCGCAGAATGACAGAACGGAAGCCTTATTTTATCTGTGGTGGCAAAACTGTCTGCTTAGCCCATGAATGGCAGTGTCTCACTGGCTTGCTTTTATTAGGAAACACGCAACAGCAAAACCACTGTGCAGAGCTGCAGGCAAGCTGGGCATCTGTGTGCAGCCCAGCAGCAACACAATGGCTTCTGTGTCACAGAAGCTGTCACTGTCGCACAGCCTGACAAAATGGGCTGTGTGCAGGAAGCACCTTCCCCGACACGAGGAAGCATGCGGAGCTGCTCGTGTCCACAGCAAGCCCCACAGCCGCTGTGCGCACTGGTGCGGAGACCTGAGGGCTGCCCTGGTGAGGCTGAGGGAGGACAGCTTATGAGGCGGGAGCCTCCGAGTGCCCAGCCTGCAACGGCGGGCACAGCAGCAGCCTCGCCAGGCTCAGCGGGGAAGGGACACTGTTCACTGCCCAGGGGCCCATGTGGCACAGAACAAAGGCAGCGAGGTGTGGGCACCGTGGCTATAAATGTGGGGTGAGAGGGGCCAAGGAGGCTCCAGCAAGGCCCTGTGCCCATGAAGGGGCAGAGCCAGGATGCCTCAGAGCATCTGAAGGCACAGCCACGTCACCAGTCCTTCTGTGATGCCCACTAGGATGGGTCCCTGGCGGATGCAGGTGATGACCGATGGCCTAGCCCCTGCTTACCACATCTAGGCCTGGAAACACGGCCCGGCCCCTGGTCTCGAGCACCTCCTCCATCTCATGCATGGCGTCTCGGAGAACGAACTGTACGGAGCTGCTCGCGGCCTCGGGAAACATCTGGCAGAGATTATACAGCTGCCTGTTAAGCAGACACAGTCAGTGGAGAGTGAACCCACACAGCAAACCCCGGAGGACCCACTTTCAGTTTTCTTCCTCCTGGTACTGGGGCTGAACCAGGGCCTCAGACGGCGGGTCACTTGTCTCGCCGGTGCCAGCTGGCCTCCTTGGTGACCAGGTCACTTTCCAGCAGTGCTTCACGACAGCCTGCACTTATCTTTGCCGTCTCCTAGAACTGCTTGCAGCGTTTAAGTGGCAGCACTAGAAATGTCCCTCTGTCCTCTTCACAGCACCAGCACATCCTGCCACACCACAGCCGTCACCCTTCACACAACTCGCTCTTCCTCCCGCAGACACAGATGCTGCCGCACAGAGGGGCTGCCCAGCACACAGCCCAAAGTGGCCTGGAGCTCTGGTGCCCCAAGGGATAGCTCTCCCTGAGCCGAGTGCCAGGACAAGCCCCTGGGCTCTGCGCCCTTGTTACGATTTGGATCGAGGTGTCCCCCAAAGCCTCATACGACCATAGGTGACTTTTCCAGAGGTGGCTGAATCTAGAGCGTGTGGTGCTCCAATTAAGGGTGTGTAATTATTAATCCACTACACTGACTGGTTTGGCCCAGCCTTAATCCCGGTAGTCTGGAAGATGAGATAAAAGGGGCAGAAAGATGGGTTCCCTCGTTGCTTTTGCTGTCTTCTGCCATCATAAAACTGTTGCCCCTCTGCCCTGTGCTAGCCTGTCTTGGAGCCAGCTGACTCGACTGAAACCTCTGTAAGCTGTGAGCTAAATCAACCTTTCCCCTTTAACGTTGGGTGTTGGGTACTTTGTCTCAGCAATGAGAGAAAAGTAGGTGAGAGAGTCCTGGTATTGCTCCAGCCACAGAACCAGGAGCCAGGGGCCCACGGAGACCTGAGCATCTGTACAGAACCCTCTGCGGGACTTGGGTGGGCACCACAGCCCTGAGGCACAGGCCTGTGAGGCTCAGGTCTGAGCTTTGGCAGGACTGCCACCCACGTGCCTCCCGACTGAAGTGAAACACAAACACTGGCCACCAAGACTATCAAAAAATCGGAAAGACTCAGTGGCTATAAAGTCAACTTGTTTGCGATCAGTAGCAAGTCCCATCTCTGTGGAGATGATGCAGCGTTGTGTCAGAGTGGGCTGTCACGAGGCCACTGGGGCGGGTCCATGCGGGGGTCCGGCCTGCCCCACACTGACTCAATGAGCTCGGAGTGCTGTGTGACTCTAGGTGGAAAAGTGTTCCATTCAGTCCCGTACTCCAATTTAAGTTTTACTTACACAACCAACTTATCAATTACTTTGAGGTCTGGTGGATCACTTGTAGCCAGATCTCCAACGTGTTCCAGAAGGAAGCCGAACAGCTTCTGCAGGGAAAGGCAGCTCAATGCTCAGCACCAAGAGTAAAGCTACAGGCACACATTCCCACATCACCTCCCCACCCAAAGCAGGGGCAAGGACCCAGGGCCAGATACCACTGGGACCTGCCGGGCACAGAGAGGCATAATAGAAAGTGAGCTGAGGTCAGGCCACGCTTTGGAACAGCGGTAAACTGATTTGATTATCAGAGCAAACACAGAGCAGGGCAGCGCCACACCATCCACAGCAGAAGGGCAGCCAGCTCCCGACCTACCCAGGGAGCCGCACCCTCACCGCCATGTGAGGTCGAGTCTCCTCACAGGCGACACGCAGGTGACAGGGCTGCCTGCAACCCAGCCTACCTCCAGCTTTGTTTTGTTCCCCACGGCAAGACTCGGGTGGTTGCACTTCTGAATTCTCTCCATCACCAGGAGCTGCTCCTCCGCTGATCTTCCCAACAGCAGTGATCTCAGCTCCTCGTAGGACTCAGGCACTGGGAGGAACACAGAGGAGACACTGTGGCACATGGCCCAGGGCCCTTGTGATCGCAGTTACACCCGCACCTGACCTCCCAGGGCGAGGGTCTGCTGCTCTGTGGCTACCTGGGAATGAACAATGACCAAGGACAGCGCCAAGGAGACGCAGCCTCCATCTTTCCTCAAGTCTTGAGACGGTGCTGGTTTAGCGGCTCAGTGCTTCAGACAAAAGCCCCTAACAATCCACCCCGCAGACACCCCACTAACAGTCCTCTAGAAATCACAGGCTGAGCCAGGACTGTGCACTGGACCGGGAAGGTCTTCTTGTGCATAAGAAGCCAAAACAACATGCCGTGTTCTGTGTAAGTCACTGCGGCCCAACAGAAGCTCCTGGGACAAGCCCAAGAAGCCACCTCGATGAACCCCGGATCTCCAGGGCCACCCGGAGATCGTGGACTCATGCAACACGGAGGCCCAGCCTGCCTGTGCCCGCAGGCTCCGAGAGGACGGTACCCATGCACCCCGCCAGAGATCACCCTGCCCTCTACCTGCGAAGGTGTAGGGCAGCTCGCCTCCCACGGCTCTGCGAGCTTCCCGACCGCCCAGGGACTGCCACTGCCCCGCCGCTGGCTTCTTCTCGTGCTCCTCCTCACTCTCCTCGCTGGAGTCCAGGTCCGAGTGGCCGTCTGGGCTGTCGCTGTCTTCGCCCCGCTCCCCCTCCAGGCTGCCGTCTGCCCTGCTCTGCCCCTCCTGGGCATCCTCCCCGATGCTCAGCTTTCCATCCTAGGGAGGGAGCACGGAGACAGCCTCACCTTGCAGGCGCAGAAACCTGGTCTTCAGCGTGACACCGAGGGGACGTGGGGCCTGCTGACAGGCCCCCAGCTCAGCGAGGCCCCACCCTGGCTGAGGGGTAGGATGTCTCTGCTGTCCCCAGGGCTTCTCAGGACAGCAGGGACAAGGAGTGCCACCAGGTACCTCCCTCTGAGTCCTGCATGGCCACACAATCGCTCTCTCCTGCACAGGCTCCTGCCAGCACCACGCTGCCCAGCACAGGGCCCTCAACAGAGCAGAACAGAAGCTGGCGAGTCCCCCTGGAACCCCCAGAACCTCCAGCTACACGGACCTGTTTTATTTAAAAAGCCATCCGGCCTCAGGCACGTTGCTGTAACAGCAGAAAACTGCCACAAAGACACGGGCTCCCAGAGACCTGGCAGTGGGACTGTGGGTAAGGGTCAGGCTCCGGCAGGAGCTGCAGCTTCCTGCTTCTGGTCTGGGGATGTGGACCGAGGACAACTGAGGTCTGTAGCCTGTACCCAGGTGGCCCGTCTGGCTGCTCCAGGTAACTCAGTGTTTTGTTAGCACCACTTCTCCTGTCTTGAACCCTATTCCGCTTAAAATATCAGCTCGGCCTGTTTTCATCCTGGGACCCAACTGCTCCACTCTAAATGGAGACCAATGGAGAACCACACTGTGCTAGAAACTCAGTCATGCCACTAACAATGTGCAGAACGCTAACCCTGAGCCACCTCTCCAAGTATTGTGCTGAGGTCTGGCACGTAATCAGTTATACACGGTGTAGTAGAGGTTTTTTTGGAGACAGTCTCACTGTGTAGTTCAGGCTGGCTCTCACTATGTAGCCCAGGCTAACCTTAAGCTCAGAAATCCTCCTGCCTCAGCCCCGAGTGCTGGAATTACAGGTGTGTGTCACTATGCCTGGCTATAAACCATGTGATTAAAATGTTAGCGGGTCAACATTAGTTAGCAGGGTTGGGCCTGTGTGGTTTATAATCTGTGGCTGTTAAACAGTCTTCTCTATGAGGCTTACAATAAAAAGGAAACACTTCAGACAAAGTGCTTTAAAAGATAAATCTCCCTCTTTGCTGAACCTCTTGAGTGAATATCAGAACGTGTTTTTAAGTTAACAACATCTTACTTTGTAAGAAAGCAAACGCCTGTCATCTTTGTCCAATACAAAGCCATCATTTAAATCATCGGCTGACATGTGTTTGGGCTTCTTTGTCTTTTCATCCTCATCCTTTCCAAGCATTCTTCGGAGTCTTTCGGCCTGAGCAGGAGAGAGAAGGGAAGGAATTCACCTAGGCGCCCTGTATCAGGGAGACTCGGGTCTCCACTCCTGAGGCTGGGGCGTCCAACCCTGTCTCAGACACACATGAAGGTGCCTGCAGCACTGGAGGAGGCTTCCTTGTTTCACAGTGACTGTCAGGTCTGGTGGCAGAAATGCTGTGGCCACAGGAAGGGCAGCTTGTCCCTCTGTGGCCCGTGCTGCACCAAGGGGCGAGGGCACCAAAGGCAAAGCAGCAGCCTCCCTGGACTCCCAGAGTCCAGGTGCCAGAGCCCTGGGTGTGGGTGCACTGAAGTGCCGCTCAGAAGAACGTTTCTAAATAATTTTCTACATTTCATTGCATTTAAGCAGAAATGTTTAGAGGGCAGTACACTCACCGTATTGTTGGCTGCTGTTTGGGGCAGAGGATATATAAGGAATGCCCATTTTTTATTTGGTGTACTTGAGTATTCCTTGAGTTTTATTTGAAATCTTGATTATAGAACCAAGATAAAAAGTATATGGCTGACCAAACACAATCTAAATACAGAGGGTCGCTGGGTGTGGTGGCTCACACCTGTAATCCCAGCACTCGGGAGGCTGAGGCAGGAGGATCGCTGTGAGTTCAAGACCAGCCTGGGCTACAAAGTGAGTTCTAGGTCAGTCTCAACTACACAGAGAGACCCTGTCTCAAAAAACAAACAAACAAACAAACAAACAAACAAACAAGGCAGTGCAGGTGACAGATCCCAGGCATGGCTGCCCCAAGCCAACCCATCCCTCTACCTCCAGCACCCTGAGCCGCTCCTGCCCCTCCTTTGCCAGTTCCTCTTCCGTCTTCATCCTGTTAGAGGGCTGTGCCTTCATCTCGAAGCCGAGTTCACGAACCATCATGTCATAGGCATCAGGCTGTTGGGAGAGAAGACGAGATGTTTTTAACACCTTTGTCACAACCTCACATGTGCCAGGAGGGGCTGAGCATGCAGTCTTATTCTGCTCAGGCCTGGGGATTGAGAATCATAGGCACTTGAGTCACATGGACTTTTCTGCTCGTAGAAAATGCTCAAAACAGCTGCTTTAACTAAAATACACGTTGTTCACGGAAGCACTCAGCACCCAGTAGGGAGGCCTGGTAATGTGGCAGCAGTTACGCTGGTGACCCGGAGATGTACAACTGATGTTGTGTGCAGAGAGCGAGCCCGGCCGCCAGCATCTCGCTCCTCAAACGGGGTTTCCCAACAACTCAGGCCCAGGGTGATGCAGCAGGAGCAGCACTGTTACAGGGAGTAGACGGGTAACTGCACACGCTACACACCCACACAAGGCAGTCGCACCTCTCTATGCTCCCACCGCACGTGCTTCTCACCCAGAGAAGCTGTGAATTTTAATCCACCTGAAGCAGATGTGGAAGTAACCTCGGCTTTACTCCACCCCAATATAACTCCATCTCAGAGGTGACATAAATGCTCCACTGGAAGTCAGGCATGGTGGTGCACACCTATAATCCCAGCACTTGGAGGCTGAGGCAGGAGGATCGCTGCGAATCTAAGGCCAGCCTCAGCTGCACAGTGAGACCCTGACTCAAAGGAACAACAAAATGAAACCAAGAAATTTCACTGAAAACCTGTCCAGGAAAGAGGAAGGCCAGAGGAGACATCCTGGCTGCAGTCTCCTCTCTGCAGAGAAGTCACCAGACGCTACAAGTTCAGCTCTGGGCTCGATCCCTGAGCCCCACCTTGGTTTTCTCCTTTTCTCTGTTCTCTGACTTGGGAGTTTTGTGTGACAGAAGAGTCTGGATTTCCTTCCAGTCCTGGTCCAGCTTCTCCGTGAGCTCGAGGGCATCTTCCCGCTGTGCCTGCCTCTCCCTCTGGGGAAAAAGGACACACACACCATGATTACTGGGTACCGAGAGCAAAGGGACCAGGGGCTGGTATCTAGTGCACACCAGGAAGTGACCAGGCCAGGAAGGTCTGATGCCACTGTTTACCGGGTGCCGGGTGGTGGGGTGGGTAATGAGCAGAGACACACAGGTCCCACCTGCCACAGCAGCTGCCTAAAGAAGTGTGTTTGGTACACGGCAGCACTCAGAACACACGAGCCAGGGGCTGCTCGTGCTCACAAGAAATAGAAAATGCAGCCCGGGGCCGGGGATGTAACTCAGTGGTACTGGCTGTTGCCTCTACCTCGCAAGCACAAGGTCATGAGTCTGAGCCCTGATCCCAGGTACCAACACAAACGAACAGCAGCCTACAAGTGTACAGGGCCAGAGAGCTGGAGCCCATTTGGATCAGCAGTGGTGACTGCAGCAGTTCACGTCAAGGACACCACCTGCCCCACCTTTTCTAGCTTGGACTTTGCAATGAGCTCTTCAATCAGCTCCTTCCGTGACTTCGGCTTGTCCTCTTCCTGCGTAGTGGCCTTCTTCTGGAGCACAGCACCACCTCCGAAGTGGGCAGCCGTCAGCTCCGCTGGAGACAAAAGCAGAGAACACTACCATGATCCCTTGGTGTAGGAGGCACCTCCAGTCTCTTCTCACGTTTCTCCAAGAGCAGCTTGTGGACGTCCACATCCAAGAAGAAACCCTCACACACAGGAGCTGGCGCAAGGCTGCAGGTGCAGCCCTGGCACCTAAGGACACCCAAGATGAGCTGCTCCAAGAAAACGTGGACCAATATCTTACCCGCTGGACACAGCCAAGGGAACGGAAACTCGCAGGCAATCCTCCTGCCTCAGGCTCCTGAGTGCTGGGATTACAGGCCTGCACCACCATGCCTGGTTCTCCAGAAGAGCTCTTATGATCAGTAAGAATTTAACTCACAGTTCTAGTTCTCTAAGCTCCAGAGAAAAATGAGCTCTTGTGAGATTTAAGAAAATGGACACTAGAGTGCTTTCTCAGCCCATAAAAGCACCTATTTATTGTTTTGTTTGAGACAGGGTCTCACTACACAGCCCAGGTTAGCCCTGAACTCATGGTGATCCTTCTGCCCTAGCCTTCTCAGCAATGGGATCACAGGGGTGCTCCACGACCACTGCTTAGAAGTATCTACCTTACACTCGAAACTTCAATAAATAAAACTGCCACACGCACAATTTACGGAAGGTGATGCTTTCAGGCAACGACTCTTCTTGGTCCCTGGAAGCTCTGGGGCTGTGTGGCGGCCCATCCCACCTACCAGACAGTGTCCCTCGGTCTTCTGCGTCACTGTCACTGTCCATGATGTCATGGTGCTTTTCAATGTCCGCCAGAGACTGGCCGTAATGTGTCAACTCTTCATCTTCATTTAGGTTGTAGATGCTTTTTTTCTCATGATGTCGCTGACAGAAGAGGGGGAAAAAATCAGTTGCTTACAATTACATTTGTTATCCTAACAAGAAACCAACGCTCTTTCTACGATACATGGTATATGACGATGTGCTCCAGCCACGTAAACTCACTCTGGGTCATCTGAAAGATGGAGGAGATGGGACCAGAACTAAGAGGGAGCTGCTGAAATAAACCAGGCCGGGCCGTGCTCTAGCAAATCCCAGACTTCCCCCAGCAACGGGCCTCAGGCTCGCCTTCCTGGTGAGGTGAGAGAAGGCAGGGCCGCCCGTAAGGACTCCGGACATGCTGCCTCTTCCACCAGAGGGCTGGCATTTGCACGTGAACAAAGCTGTTTCCCCCGGGGCCTCCCCAGACAGGTGTCAGACGCAGACCCATTCCCTGAACCACACAGATGTGAGTGGCCCACGGGGACAGAACCTGCTCTCTGAGCATGGCCTCTGGCAAAATCGATAGCAAAGACTCTTCTCCAACTCATACCCATACCTGCTGTTCCAGCGCAAACCTCTTCATCATCTTCTCCTCTGGGCTTATGTTGCTGTTGTACTCCCCAAAGCGCTTATCCTTAAACACATTGGACTTGTCCCTGTCTTTGTACTCCTTCAGTAAGGTCTGGGTACGCTGGAAAACAGATCATAACACATCGCACAGCCTGTTGCTGTGACTTCACTGAGGGGACTGCAGAACAATGCAGGCTCTGAAGCTCAGTTATGTGCTGTGACATCCACGTCCATCCCATCTCGTTTGCTCATTGATCACAAGTCTTATCTGGTAGGGACGTCTCTGAGACAAGAAAATGAACTTCTTGGAGAAAATGGGATAATTCTTTTTCTCTTTATAGAGTCATTGCTGAAAGAAGGTTAAAAAGCCTCACAGCCCAGCCAAGGACACCGGCTTTTCCAGCCGTGGCAGCTGCCTGACACCTTAAGAACACGTCTGTATCAGGCCCAATTCACTTGGGAAAATATACCCTCTTCTGTCCTGGAGGAGGCTTAAACAGTAGAGACATTCCTAGGAAATGCAGAGTTGTGCTTTTGTGTGTAATGTAAGACCTTAAACATGTTATCAAGTGGGGACACAGTTTATATTTTGTGCTTTAGAACGCCAAGGGGAGTGGTATTTCAATGCAGAACTCAACAACTAAGAGCAAGTTTCAACTAATCGGGTACTGTCCCGGGAGCAGCAGGAAGTGGCACCGCGGAAGCCCAGGAGCTTTGCCTCCTGGTCACCGTGTCCCCACTGGGGACATCTGGGGAGGGAGGTCCTGTAAGAGGATACACGAGTCCCTAGAAGGAGCCACAAGGAAACAGACGGCTGACGTTGTTATCGTTACCTGCCTCAGTTTCCCCAGGGACTCAGAGTAGTAGCACAGGAGTGCTGACTGTGAAGATCAAATGCAAACTCGAGCTGGGCATGAGGACGCTCACTCATCTGTAATCCCAGGACCTTGGAGGCTGAGGCAGGAGGATCAACACTAGTTCAAAGCCAGCCTGGGCTACACAGTATGTGAAAGACCAGCCTGAACTACATAGTGAGACCCTGACTCAGAAAAGTACACTCTTAACACAATGCCTGAACCACCGTGAGGACCCCATGACCGTCTCAGTGATTATTTTGCAAATCACTTTAGATCTGAGGAAACCGAGGCACGGCTATAAGGGTGTGATGTGGGGACTGTCCTCTACTGCAGCACTGCACCACTGCCCCTAGGTACCGTACCACCCCAAGCAGCCAGGGGAGAGGAGCCATGGGGGACAGGCCAGGCCTCCCTCCTCACCACCCTGGGGTCATGGCACAGCCCGCTAACCCTTCGGAGCCACAGCGAGCTCCCAGGAAGAAGACACTAACCTCCCTCACGCTGTACTTCCTCCTAACTATGATGCCTGGTCTCTACTGTACTCAGCTTCTTCTATTCCCTCCAATACTTGACTTTCCACCTCTGCCAAGCACAGGGAATCGGAGAGAAGCAGCAAGGCCCCGGCCAGCAGACCCTGCACATCTGAGCACTTCGCCCCGTCTGGTCTGTGCAGTCACAAAGCTAACAGAAGTGACGACCTGAGCTGGCCTTCAGTGACTCTGGGAGGCAAGGAAGGGCTTTTTGGGCAAACTAATCTGTAGGAAACCAGCCAGGACAGCAGGCTGAGTCAGACTGTGAAGGGGCTGAGAACAGCCTTTGTGGGAGGCTCACTGCCCACTGACTGTGCCACTTCATCCTCACACCTGTGAGGGACGGAACGCATGCCATCCTTTACTGCCATCGCTGCCCTGGAGTATGCAGCAGCGGGCTCTCAGGGACATCCACAGCCAGCTCCCTGCAGTGAGGACGGTATTTCCATCATCTCAAAGCTCACTGGGCTGGCACGCTGCGTGACAAAGTACAGACCACAGATCCTTGTTCTTGTGTTTGAGGCAGGGTCTTGCTGTGTAGTTCAGGCTGGGCTCGGCAGCAATCCTCCTGCCTCAACCTCCCACACACTGAGATCACAGGTGTACCACCACGCCCACCCCAGACTGCAGACTCTTGAAGGCAGAGGCTACGTCTTGTTCACCTTTACCTCCCCAGCTGCTGGAACAGAGCTTAGCTACTGGTGATCAGTGGTACATGCAGCCATAACCCCAGTGCCTGGGAGGCTGAAATGGGAGGATCACTTGAGCCCAGACGCCGGACCGGCCTGGACTAACACAGGAAGACCCAGTTCCAAGAACAAAACAAAACTGCACTTAGCATAGCAGCATAGCATAAAGGCTCTGCAGACACTGAACCTGAAATACAAGGTCCCGTCTTTTATCAGTGGTGTGACTCACCAGCTGGGAAAGTCATTTGTTCTTCCTGTGCCTTTATTTAGAGACAGGGTCTCACAGCGTAGCCCAGGCCAGACTTAAACTCCCAGTTCTCCTGCCTCAGCCTCCTGAGTGCTGGCACTACAAACGCACACCACCATGCTCACTCTGCTCTGTGTCTTAATTTCTTCACCAGTTTACTCATGAATGTTCCTTAGAGTAACAATAAGCATTGTTCTAAAAAAAGCCAAGGAACCTTTCTTGGCAGCTGCATATAGGATGCCATTTGTTGAATTGAATTCGAAAGGCAGCTACAGAATACTGTGTTTCGGGCCATAAAACAGGAAAGATGGAAACTGTGAGAATTTCCACACAAGATGGGTTACCTCCGAAGGGGCACGGTCATCTGTTTCAGGGGAGGGACATCCTCCAAAGAGCAGCAGAGCATCCTACATGATTCCTACCCATGGTGCCCCAACCAGCAGAGCCTCGAGGAGGATGGCTAGGAGTTGGCAGCACCCCCGGGCAGCTCAGAAGGGTTAACTCCAACAGAGGCAGAAGGTCACCAAAGCCGAGCACGTGTGCAAGGTCCCTGGGTGCGGCAGTTTTCCAGCGGAAGGTCATCCAGCCCAGGCAAAGGCAGAAGAGGCATGAGGCAGAACCGGCCAGGGTCATGTACGTGTCACCGTCTCCATCTTACAGACAAGGAAGCTGAGGGACTGAGAACGACGCGGCTGGCCCGTGGGTCCGCGAGTCCTGGCGGCGCCCTTACCTTCCTGATGGCCCGCGCGCGCGAAACGCCGGGCAGCCCCACGTCGTGGCGCGTCTTCCTGCCGAGGATCTGGAACTTCTGCCTGTTGACTTTCACCTCGAACGGGTTGGGTTTGGCCTTCGCCGGAGCCCCGGGAGCTGGCCTCCGCGCCCCGGCCGTCCTGGCCTTCCCCATAGCGAACACGCTAGGAGACAGGGCGCCGCTGTCTTCCAGGGTTAGGAAAGGAGACGCCCGCCGAGTGACGCGACTAATGCTAGCAGGGCCTTGATACAACCCCACTCTTGTCTCGCCTCGCGATAACTGCGTAAATGCGCCCCCCCCATCTCGCAAGAAGAGGACACGTTCCGGAAGTCACGGGCTGGCTTCCGTTCATCTCACGCATGTCTATTGGCCGAACAACTACAACTCCCAGAAGGCTACCTCCTGGCGCGAGGCCTTATGGGAACTGCCCCCCCCCGGCAAGCCCGGAGATCCCTTCGGCGCCCTCTCCTGGGGAGCCGTTAGCCGGGAGCCGGCCGCCTCGCGGGTGGGGACGGTGCCCCCTGCCGGTAAACCCTCCGTGTGGTGGGGCGTGACTGAGGCGCGCG